AGCAGTTGGCATGGTCAGAGCCGCAGGTCAAGTCCGAGGTTGAATCAGCTTTCCGTTTACTACCTGTGCATCCTGAATGTCACATCTTCTGGGTTGTGTTTTGGAAGACATGTACTATGTGGATATGTGCCTCCCAATGGGTTGTTCCATATCCTGTTTCTACTTTAATTGCTTCAGCACATTCTTGGAGTGGGTGGTTAGGAGAAATGCCGGGATCGACTCCCTGCTGCATTAATTCGATGACTTCCTTTGTGTGGGTCCTGCCGGTTTGCCAGCCTGTGCACTGCTGCTGCGGGTTTTGAGGGATGTTTTCCAACGCTTTGGGGTCCCACTGGCCCGCGACAAAATGGTGGGTCCAATTATGTGCCTTAGCTTCTTGGGCATTGACATTGATTCGGTGGCAGGGGAATGCCGTTTGCCCTTGGATAATTCAAGGCTTACAGAGGGAGGTGGCGATGGCCCGAGGGCTGCGTAACATCCAATTGCGGGGCCTGCAGTAGCTACTGGGTAAGGTAAATTTCGCCAGTTGGATCATTCCGATGGGGAGGGTCTTTAACAGGCGGCTGGCTGCGGCAATGTCCGGAGTCACTGGGCCCCGGCATTTCATTCAGCTGACTCGGCCTCTGAGGGATGATCCGGCTGTATGAGACTCCTTCTTGGCTGCATATAATGGGGAATTGGGCATCTGGGTGTATTGTCTCATATGTTTGTCCTTCCCACCTCCTAAATTGATGTTTCTCTGCGCAGCTGGAACTCCCCCCCCAGGGTCTGGGTGAACGGGCACTCATATGTATTCTGGGCCAGGAGGCGAGCGGCTGTCCGTCTGGGAGGTGAGCTATTGGGTTTTACGCTTTCTGAAGCGGAGGTTCGCTGGTCTGGCACCAGAGGTATGAAATGGGTTCGGCTCCTCCCGGAGCTGGTTAAGCTCTCTCACCTTCTGGGTGCACAGAGCGTTCTAGTTATCCACCTGGTGGGTAATGATCTCAGGACAATGCCTATTTGGGGGTTGGCGGATGCAATTAGGAGAGACTTGGCGCCGGTCTTGGTTCTGTTCCCGGATGTGCGGCTCATCTGGTCGGAGGTCATTTCCCGTAACTACTGGCAGCGGGCCCATAATCAAAGAACCATGGAATGCTGCTGTATTAAATTGAATAGGAGGGTAAGTTTGTACTGGGGCTTAAAGGGATCCCAGTTCGCCACAGGGTGTTCGAACGGGAGGCAGCTAATTTATTCCAGGGTGATGGAGTGCACCTCACGGAGGTTGGGCACGACCATTTTAACCCCTTAAGGACCAAACTTCTGGAATAAAAGGGAATCATGACCCCTTAAGGGGTTAATCTTGCTATCCAGGAAGCAGTGGAACAGGCCTTGGGTGGTTGGGGTGGAGCCCCCCGCTGATTTTAGGCTTAAAACAGCGGGGTTGTGGCGGGGGGGCATGTCCTTGTCAATAGGTGTTGGGGGGCTATCACATGGAATGTCAGGAGATGGACAAGGTGGGTCTCAACCTCCCTTGCTCTGTAGGGTAAACTTTTCAGTTACCGACTTTGACGTGCCCACCGAGCTAAAAGCTGGCTGGTGGTAAGCATTAAAAGAAAAAGGGAATTTTGGTTTGGACGAGGTGGGAGGCGAGAACCCAGTGGGCAAGTTTGGTGTTTAGGCCCCTGGTCTCGTTCGTTGGCAAGGACGTTTATGTAAGCAAAGGCTGTAGGGCCTAGGTGGTTATTTATATGTTAAGTAATGGTTAATTTCTGTATTTATTTGTGTATTTATCTTTGGTAAAATTAAAGGAAAAGTTAATAAAGTTTGGATGAGTCCTATAGTCTTATGTTTAATAAATGCTGGGGCCTGTTTCATCCAAATTCGGTGTCTGTCGTTTTTGGAGGGGGAGAGTTGGGGTAGGTTTTGTTATTCTTAGTTGCTACACATTCCCTGCTATTTCCACACAAGACTAGGATCCCATTTATATTGATTTTTAAAAATTCTTTTTTTTTTATCATTTATTTATTTATTTATTTATTAAGTACATGTATGAGTATACATACTGAGCATGCAGTAATTTAAGACATGTTACATCAGCTGGTGCAGTTTCCTAAACTTGGACATAAAACTTCATTCCCTTTTTTTTTAATGAATTTTAATAGATTTTGAAATAAGGTTTATCTCAAGAACTAGGTTTAAGGCTTTAAGCATATTTGAGATAAAGAAGGAAATTTGATTTTTGACTAATACGTGAAGCTTTAAAGTGCCATTCATTAACTTTTGCAGTTTATATTTTTTTGCTGTTTGGTTGATAGGACATTCCCATGTCAAGGTATATATTCACTGACCGCCAGTGGTAGCTGGGTAAATTTCATGATAGTGGGTTGCCAGACTCTACCCCTGGCATTTGTCTCTTCTGTCTGACCTGTTGGGTTCTATTTAACCCCCGACTGAGATGTCATACCCTTTTCAAGACAATAAACCTATAGATATGTTTATTTAGGTCTGACTCCACCACCTGATGCTGTTATCCAATGACAGCACTAGAAAAACAGGGCAATATGCAGCCCTGCCTTTTATTGTGTCCATGATCTGATGGCCCAATACAAATTCAATGAGCGATGTCATGTTTTGTTAAAGCAGATTAAGCATGTCTGATGTCTATACCAAAACAATAGGGCATTTTTCAAACATTTCACAATAGTAGTTGCATCTCCGGAGCATCTCTAGCTAGCAATAAAGTGATGGAGCGAGGAAACGTCAGAAAAAATCATGACAGATACGTGACATACACATCAAATCACACACAAACATACACACACGCTCATATATAGATATTTCATTTTTTTGTATTGCAGCAAAAACTAAATAGGGGGTGGGGGTTGTCCCACCTGCCCAAAGTCCACTGTTTACTGGTGGAATGTATTGCTGGATAAAGTGAACCATATGATGCCTGGGTCTCTGCTTGTAGGTAGACTGAATTTTGTCCCATTTGTTTTCCATTTGGTTTCCTCCAAACAGATGGAATAATGCTCTTGATGTCCTGATGCATGTTTTGTCTGTCTGAGCCAGCTTTGTCAGGGGTGATTGATAAAACAGAATTACTGTTGCCGCTATTTAAATGGCAGAATCCTGTATTGTCGTCACTGCTGCTGTTTAATCAGCCCTCAGGTATCAAGCAATTCTATGAGTGTTTTGTTTTTTACAAATAGTGCTTTTTTATGTGAATATTGGAATATTGGCAAGATACATAGACCAATAAGTCAACTGAACAGTCTGATAATGGATATAAGAGAGAAAAGTACCTGATAAGGTCAAGTAGACACAAAATAGCATGTACAGAGGAAGCAAACAAATTGTCATCATCAACAGGAAATACTCTTTGTTTTTTTGTTTGTTTTTTTTTGTATAAAAAGTGTACACTGGGATAAAAAGCCTGAGATGGGGGGAAAAGGAGAAAAAAAAGAAACAAAAGCGTCAGAAACAAGATAAAGACAGGAAAAAACAGGAGCAGAATGTTGAGTGGATGATACTGGGGAAAAGTACATCGAGAGCATCTTCAAGGTTCAAGGCCATATTAGATCTTGTAGAGAACGATTGGGTTCCGAGTCATTTAGCTGATCAGTTAGTTTCTCCATGTGGGGGATGTATCAAATCTTATTGTGCTTATAACATACAGACGGGGAAACTCACTTCCAGTGTTTGTCAAAGCTGCACAGATTTATATAGGTCAACTTTAGAGAATGTATTGGAAGGTGAATGATATTTTATTATACCAGTTTGGGTGTGTTTGAAGAAGGATGAGAAACCTCACCAATGCATTATGCAATCTTTAAAATACTGTGCCTTCAGGTAAAATCATAAGCATTGTGGGGTACTAATATACCAACGTATACATGTTGCACACATTTTTTTTCTTCATTTTTCCAATGGAAACCTTTTTTTGTCTATATTCAGATTCTTATGTCCTATCACCTGTACCTTCATTACACAGAGTTTCTATTAATACAATCTGTAATCAATTTTAAATTTTATCTTTTGTCATGCTGTTCATGTGAGATTGGTTGTGAGATTGGTTCTATTTTAGAGCTAAAAACTACATTCTAATATTCTATACCTCACAACTATCCCAATTTGGTCAGAACAGGCACAATTTTTAGTTCTTGTCTCGATTTGGATCCCTGGGGTCCTACTTGTGAGGAAACCTGTGAAGTGTGCCCGAGAATAGTCAGAGCATCATTAGACACAACTGTGCTATGTTTAGGGCACCATGACCCTGCAGTGCTTTCTGCAGGGTCTATCCTTAGTGGGCTAGCCTATCAAATCTGAGCTTGTCCACCTCTCTAGGTGGAGCCAATGACACAAATCGCATTACTGGTCTGTCCCCCCTTTTCAGCCCCTCCAGTTTGGAAGGTTTGACATCATTATTAACTGTCTCCTGAAAGGCGTAGGATGGGCACTTTATGCAAATTAGCTATGTTTTCCCATAATCCTCTGGTAAAATTAAACTGTGACAGTGTGCATAATTCGCTCCTCATGTTTGCCAGCATCTTTTCCATTTGGGGAAATTGTTGACAATGAAAGTTTAGAAAAACATGAAGCATGCACTGACATAATTTCGTTGCACCGTAGGAAAAGATTTTAAGATATTACCTATCTGTGTCTTTACTGATGGTGGTTCTGATATTAGATTGCAGTTTTTTCAAATACAATACATTAAATAGTACTACATATATGAATAAGTAGCAACCACATTTTACACACAACATTAACTTGTATTCTCATTTAAAATCTACAATAAAATTATAGATATTTGTTTATTGCTGGCACTGTAAGACTTAAAAATAAGCATGTAAAAGTGGACAATGGAATAATTCAGAAATAAAAGGTGGATAGATTTTTTTAAATTCAAGGTGAGCATATGACCTTGAAAATAAAGGTAGAATTATATTCAAGGTGAGTATATGACCTTGCCTGGATAATAAGGAACCATGTCACTATATGGCCTTGACAGATTCCAGCTGATACTGAAATAGGCCTGTATTCAGGTGCAAATAGCATCACTGTACAGTTTTCACAATGTCACAGCTTTTGTCGTTGTAAGGGTTAAGGGGCACTTAAGGTGAGAGGACTAATCACTTAAGGCACTATCGAAAACTTTGCATTCTCTAAACTGAATTTCAAGAGTGACACTGGGGCACACTGAACTAGTGCTGCATATTAAAACCATTTTAATTGACAGGTTAAGGTTAGATATGGCAGACTTAGGGTTGGGTTTAGAGGATGTTTCAGCCATCCTTAACAATAGGTCACCCTAGTCCTAAAGGGACACTCAAGACCAGTGATGGCAAAACTTTTTGAGCCCAAGTGCCCAAACCGCAATACACGCCAACTTTTGTTTTCTCAAAGTGCCAACACGTCAATTAAAACTGTGAAATAGTGAGGTTTAAGTTTAGAAAAAAAACACTTGTACAGTTGTCTGTACACTTGTACAGTTGTGTTCTTCTTTTTTGTTTTAAAAGAAGAAAACAACAACAGAGAGTTCAATTATACAAATTTTAAATAATTATATAAATAGATAAAATTAAGCTTGTATTTATTGTCATCTCTAACAAATGCAATACATACATACAATACATACACACAGACTGCTGAATGCAATCACAGACTGCAGAACACATACACACACACAGACTGCTAAATACATGCACACAGTTCGCTGAATACATGCACACACAAACACACACACAGACTGCAGAATACATACAGATGGTGGTAAGCATGTTTCTGGCTGTAGCTCTCCTGTCCTCCTGTCCATGGTAACGCGCGGCAACGTTCCACATAGCCTGCACATGGGAGGACAGGACAGCTGCTTCCCATATCCCTCCCCCTGCCTCCAGGTCCTCCCAATACGAAAGCAGAGTAGGCACCTGCTGTTTTGGGCAGGCAGGCGCCCACTCTGCATTGCTGCCAACCGGTGCCAGGGCCCACCCCCCGGTGACCCACAGAGAGAGCTCAGCGTGCCATAGGTTCACCATCACTGCTCTAGACCCCTAAAGCTTGCTGAAGGGCTTTATGTGTAAAGAATGTGTGGTCTTTTTTTTATTCAACAAAAAGTGCAGATTTTAATAGAAATGGACACTTTTATAAATTAACCTTGTTACACCCCTCCTGGCTTTCAAGCAGTCAATCAGTTCTGTTACTTCCTGGTAGAATTGCTAACTCTAGAGGCAGCAATTACCCAGAGCACCTGCCTTGTAAATACTTCTCAGTAAGCTGAATTGGGAAGCCTGTGATTGGACAGCCACAGAAAGTCTGTTTTGGGGTTAGAAGCAGAGGAATTGTGAAGGCTACAAACAAGAGATCTGCAGCTTTTGCAAGCTGTTTGATCAAATGCATAATATATGTTTTGGGATATGTTTTGTACATTGTGTAATATTGTACACTGATTTTATTTGTCACTGCGGTCCCTGAAGAAGTTCCTTGCGGAACGAAATGCATACCGCTTTGTTCCTACTCTATTTTATATTTGGTGATTGTTCACCTTTGATATTAATAAATATAAACGATTTTCTAACTTTAACCCGTCTGAAGTCCTGAGTACCACTGGCTATCCCATAACAAAGAGGGGGTTTACTAGCCCCCCCATTACATCGGGGGAGGCACCTTATAAGCGATACTTTCTACACATTCTCGTGAGTGCATCCATTTATAGCGCATGATAGATTGTGTTAATTGTACTTCACTATTTGTATATATTTTTATGTTCCCTTAGACCTGTTTCAGCCGTATCCCACATATTTGTTTTTGGTTGTTTATACATTGTAAAGGTCGCAGTCTTTGGGTAGCGACCTCGGGAGGCTGTACTTTAACTCAAAGCTAAGTAATTCTTTTTACTTAATATTTCACTACACTTATTCACATCTGTAGTGTTTATATTGTGTTATTTTTGCCATAATTAAATACATACATGTTTTTAGTGGGGGTACATCTACTAAACAGTGTTTACGTGGGCAGTGGAGTGTCCCTTTAAGGGTGACTGAGAGTTCAGGAGTACACCTTCAATATACTGTGACTGTGTGATGAAAAATCATAGGAGTTACAGCATCTTGAAGGCAGGTACTCTTTAACCATCTGTCTCCCATAACACTAAACCACCTTTAATCCTAACACTACCCTAATTGTTAGCATCCCATAACCCCATGCGCCCTCATTCCGGCTTCAAGTAAAAATAACTTAACCTGAAAAAAAACACCTGTAAGCCAATAATTTTAAGCCATTTTAATCTAAACTTTGAAACTCACTTTGAATTTCTGACACGTTACATTTTAGTGAAAAAAATATAACTAAGATTAATTCCTATCATTCCCCAAGTTAAAATCATTGCTGCAAAATATGTTTGTACTTTATTAATAACTTTAATAATGATAGTATGCTCTAAATTCCCTCCAGCCCCATCGTATTATGTTCCTTTTCCCTCGTGTGTTGTAAAAAGCCCAATGATTGTACTCTGGGCTGGGGATCGCTTCTGGAATGTTGCATAACCCACTAATGTCTCTTGATGTCCTATAGCCACACGAACACATCCACTGAATTAGAGGATAAAAAGGCAAAGTAAATATATTGTAGACACGGCTTGTTGCACACAGATTGGGCACAGGGGGCTCAGACACACAGTACACTATAACAAGTTTCTGACCGTAATATTGTTAAATGACAGTACAAAGAAGGGATCACAAATTTGATCATGCTTCTAGCAGTCATATTAATTTGACACAGAGGATCTGCATGTTCTAGAATGAAAAATAAGATCTGCAACATTGCATGTTTTATTTTTATTTTTTTATTTTACGTTGCCCTTTTCATTAAACAGAGTGCTATGGTTTTTACACCAACGTGGCACGGGCCTCTGTTTTATTTAGGGCATATTTGAAACCAGAAGAAGCTGCCAGATGGTATCTTAGGCTAGGATACCATCTGGAAGAATTTATGGTACTGTGCTGTGTGCCTATTTTGATTTCAGATGGAATACATGAAGCACTTTGCAGAAAACCTTGGACCAGGATGGGTTTTCAACATAGAACAGATGGCAAATACTAGAAGATATTTCATTCCTTTCTCTTGTAGCGAATAGATAGGATCTAAGCAGATCACATCATCCTCTGACCTTCAAGTGCAATGTCTCTAAGGATCACGGAATTTAACAGGGAACCTGCCTCAGAAATGATAAACAGAGCAAAGGTCACTCTAATCACCATAACAACTTTGAGTAACTTGTGCTCTGTCTCTTTTCTCACGGTGATCTAAACCTGCACCGGAGAAAAAAAGAAAATAGCAAAAAATGCTGTTACTATAAGCCTGCCTCTTGCAGCGTAAACCTCAGAATAAACTAGGTTTAATTTCATTAGTAGTCACGTGTATGGAGTCAGTGGCTTGAAATATCAGCAGACCGCACACTTTACAAAATGGTGCAGTATGTCTGCTATTAGTTTATGAAGTAATTGCACACATCTTACGTGATGAGTGGAACTTGAGCTTGGAGGTAAACCATTTATACCATACACATCTGCTGGGCAGAATACTATGTGATACGATTACATCCCATAAACCAAAATGAAAGGCTTCTGATTGGTGAAGACTCTTACTGTAGCACATTCTTGTGTAAGAGGAGTGTCTCAAGAAACGTTTCATTTAATTATTTACTATTTTACAGTCTGTTATGCTCCTTTTAAGACGGACATGTTCTTCCCAGCATCCACTTCAGCTTACTTTATTACATTTATTTCATGGCTGTATTAGAGAACGTCTCTCTGCCACCCATCTAAAGCCCACTGTGCTATAAAATAGACTCATTGTCCAATATTTAATTATTCATTATTAGGCTGTGCATGTTTATTAGTTGTTTGGTTTATCCAAATAAAATGTTTTTTTAAAATATTTTATTATGTGTAAAACTATTATATACTGTATAATAGGCAGGGCAATGTACTGAGGCAAAACAAAATAGAATGTTAAAATATGAATTGTAACTTTTTTTTTTTTTTTTGCCGTTTCCACTGGAAGGAGGTCACCATTGCATAGGTCATACTGGACCAGTGTTTTCTGCTCTGAAACAAGTAAGTACATTGGTACAGGACAAGGTTTAAAAAAAAGTCCTTTTGAAGTATGTATGGAACGGCACTCACTCCCATCAGTCAGAGTCAGGGTGCTTACTGTACCGGATCCAAACACCAGATTCCCAGATTAGTAGAATAGAATGAAAAAGGTCCAAGCACTCCTTGGTTCAAGACAGGCACTTTATTAGAACCACAGCAACGTTTTGACCAAATGGTTTTTGTCAAGCTTGACAAAGACCTTTTGGTCTAAACGTTGCTATGGTTCTAATAAAGTGCCTGTCTTGAACCAAGGAGTGCCTGGACCTCTTTGAAGGTTTAAAAAAAGTGTCACTGGCACCTGAACTTTTCTCTGTATAAATTAGTTTAAAACAAAGCTTGATCATTATTTATCATTATTTATCTACTGTAGCTAAAGTCTAGGTGGAATTACAATTTGGAGGTCTATCAGTGGGTCAGGATGGAGGCGGCCAGCTTGGAATTGCTTTACAATATTCAATCTCTCATTTCCAGTTACTGATTTAAAAAAAAAGAAGAAAAAAAAGTCTGCAGAGAATATATATCAGGAGCCAATCGGAGTCAGTTTTATTTTCTTATAGTCTTGTTTTATGTACCCATGCTTTTGGTAGTATCAGTTAGTCTGAATTAATTGTCATTTTGGGGGGTTTAACACTTGCTGTTTCAATGAAGTGATACATGTGCCCTTTAAGTTCCAAGGTACCTACTGTTCAGAAAATCTCTACAGCACTTACTGGAAAAAAATACACCTTAAAGCAGGCCTGCACAACCTGCGGCCCCCCAGGTGTTTTTGAACTATAACACCCATGAATCATTTAAAGGACCACTATAGGCACCCAGGCCACTTCAGCTAATGAGGTGGTCTGGGTGCCTGGTCCATCTAGGTTTAACCCTTTTTTCTATAAACATAGCAGTTTCAGAGAAACTGCTATGTTTATGTTAGAGTTAATCCAGCCTCTAGTGGCAGTCTCATTGACAGCCGCTAGAAGGCTTCCGCGTTTCTAACTGTGAAAATCGCAGTGAGAAGACACCAGCATCCATAGGAAAGCTTTGTGAACGCTTTCCTATGGACTGGCTGAATGCGCGCGGCTCCTGC